GGAAGGAAGGAAGGAAGGGAGGGAGGAGGAAGGAAGGAAGGAAGGGAGGGAGGGACAGAGGGAGGGAGGAAAGGAGGAAGCAGGGAAGGTAGAAGGGAGGGAGGGAGAAAACCAGGTGACCAGGTATCCGGAAAGTCACAATTTTTCCTGAAACATCTAGGAAACAGCTATGTGTAAGTGATGGAAAATTAGAGGTTTTTTGCACACTCACATTACAACTTTCATTATCCTTTCTTCCTTAGAATTACAGAATCATAAAAACCGTAGAAGCCATCTGGAAGGAAAGAAGAGAATAGGAAAGAACAAAAGAGTATCATGTTCAACAAGGATGGGAAAAGAATAACAATCCATATTTCAGGAATAGAAGCAGCTTTGGTGTAAGCAGTGTCTCGGCAGCCACTCCATGGAGGAACAGGACCCTCTCCCAACCTTGTCAGCCACTCCAGCTAAGCAGCTGCTGCACCAGGTACGTTGCTGCTGTCTTCCTAAGAGTTCAAGAACATGGGCTCTGGAGTCACACGGCCTGCGTTCACATTCCAGCTCCATTCATAGCCTGCACGACCTGCAGCAAATGTCTTGATTTCTCTGCCTCAATTTCCCCATCTGTAAAATAGAAATAAACATAGCATCAATCTCATAAAATTGTTGAGAAGATTAAATTACATAAAGCACAGAAAACATATATAATACTGAATGAAAGATAGTAAGTGTCCAGTAAACATAGGCTAGTATTGCATTTCTTTTCATGTCTACGGCAGCCCTGGGAAGTAATGAGCATCCTCTTCATTTACAGAAGAGGATACAGAGTCAAGGAGGCCACTTCACCTTCCTGGTTCACACCATTAATTCGAATTCCATATAGTACCTGAGCCCCAGAACTACCTGGCTCCAAATTAATGCCCTTTCCCCTGTACCACACTGTTTCTCCACACTCTCAGGGTCCTCAATGAGAAAAATACTGACTTAACTTAGTGCAAATGGTCAATCAATTGCATTTGACTCAAGGCCAGGGCAGTGGTTCACTCCTGTAGTCCCAGCACTTGGGTCAGCGAATCCCTTTAACCCAGAAGTTCAAGACCAGCCTAGTCAACATGGTAAAACCCCGTCTCTACAAAATTTAGCCTGGCATAGTGGCATGTGCCTATAGAACCAGCTACTCAGGAGGCTGAGGTGGGAGGATTGCTTGAGCACAGGAGGTAGAGGCTGCAGTAAGCTTCATCATGGCACTGCACTCCAGCCTGGGCGACAGAGTGAGACCTTGTCTCAAAAAAATATTTTTTTAAATAGCATTTCAATGAACAGCTATCATTCTACATGTCCGAAAGAATGGATACTCTTCCCAGAACATAAACTTAGTACTAGATGGTAACATTCCTGGATTATGTACAGTCAATCCTAAGCATTCGATGACTCCTTTAAAGACAGTTGTCTTTAAAATTTGTGTGTAATCCCACTAAAGTAGTAATCCTTAAATTTTATTGAGTCTTGCACCTCTTGGAGAATCAGATCAAAGCAAAGGACACTTTCCCCAGGAGTGGGAAATGCATGTATACATACTCACAAAATATGTATACAATTTCAGTGAGTTCAGAGACTTGAGAAGTTCATGCAATCCAGGTGAGCAGTCCTCCATTCTAATGAGCCTGGAGATCTGGTATGCCGTTCCATTTACAAGGATGCATTTTCTATGTGGCTATCATCACCCTGCTTGGTCTCTGCTTTGTTTCTTTTTGACTTTTTCTCTTCTGTCCCGTTCTCTTTCCTTTTCCCTCTCTTACTCTTCCTTTCTCAACTCTCCACCCCCTCCTACCTTGGCAACCAGATGGAGCCACTATCGGAATCTCCTCTCCCTTCCCCTTCCTCCCCTCTGTATCCTTCCTGACCAGCCGATTCCGGAGAGGAATCCGATAACTTATCAATAAGCATAGGTTGCTCCATAGGAATTTTGGCCAGCCTAGGAAACAGTCTCTTTTTTTTAGGAAACAGTCTTTCTTTGAAGGATAGAAGATCAGAACTTCTGACTCCATTAAGAAGTCATTTCTCCTAACTCTCCGGTAAATGCAACCACTTTCCATTAAATATATGCAGATTCACTATATCCTGTTTTCAAGGAAACAGATTCACTAAGTTAACAATTCTGGTATAGATATCTGTGAACTCATTTGTTCTTTTATATCTGTGACTTTTTCATAGTACTCATCAACTTGGTAGTTAAGCACTCAGAAAAAGATATATTGGACACATAAAGCTTTATATAAGCAACTCTTGCATTAAAATGTGTCTGTCTCTATTAGGTTTTTTTGTTTGCCTACAACGTGCAAGTGAATTTCATTTTTATCAGTTTTATTTTTTAAATAAGCTTTTGAAAACTGATAATGCCATCCTTTGGAATCCGTGGCCAGCTATTATAGTTATATACACAACTGCCTAGAGTTGCCTAATATGAAAATGCGGTTAATTATAAGAATGAAAAGCTTCAAAATGAAATGAAATGTAAAATCATGAACTACAATATTGAAATGAAATCTTGTTTAAACAATTTGTCTTGGGCAGGCACAGTGGCTCATGCCTGTAATCCTAGCACTTGGGGAGGCTGAGGCATGCGGATCACAAGGTCAGGAGTTCGAGATGAGCCTGAGCAACATAGCGAAATGCCGTCTCTACTAAAAATGAAAAAATTAGCTGGGCATGGTGGCATATGCCTGTAGTCCCAGCTAATTAGGAGGCTGAGGTGAGAGAATGACTTAAACCTGGAAGGCATAGATTGCAGTGAGCTGAGACTGCACCATTGCACCCCAACTTGAGTGACAGAGTGAGACTCTATCTCAAAAAAAAAAAAAATAGATTTGTCCTAGAGTTCGACTTTTGATGCATTTGATCTGGAAAGTCAACATTTTCATTTCTAAGCAAATCAAAATGTTTTCTCTAAACCCAAGAATTTTCTTTAAGGATGCTTTCAAAGGGAACTGTCCTTTGTATTTTTTATATGAAAGTTTTTGCAAAAACCAACTAAGATATGATGGTCATGTTTTTAACAAGGTAAATTCACAACCATAAATGTGCCTTAGATTATTAATGGGATATTTTGTAAACTGTCAGGCATACAAAATTAAAGGAGAGAGACATAGGCTTTATATATGAGCATTACATATTTACTTCACAGTTTTTAAAATATTTCACAGTAACTTCATCAGCATTTCCATTTACTATAATGATCATTTAAGATTCTGTTATGGTGAAGTCATTCACTGAATTGAAACACTTTTTTTGTAATTTGGAAAGAAAAAAACTGTATAAAATGAATAGCATTGGCAAATGTTTCTAATCATTTCCTTAAAATACCAAACCACCAAACAATCTTTTTATTTACTACATTTTGCTTAAGTGCATAAATCAAAGGACAATAACAAGCCTAATGTCAAAGTAACTTTTTGACACTTCATACATTTGAGCAAGCTTAGCCGATAAACAGTTTAGATGAAGTTATGGTTTGAAATATGTTTCCCAAGAGGACTGTGGTTCATAAATTGCTATCAGGCTACCCCTGTCATTGTTGATTTGAGAAGTACTCAAGGTACCCACAGCTATTAACTAAGGCTAGCATTACCTGACCTGTTTTTCAGAGAATGATATTTGGTTTTACAAAGACAACTAACCATCCATTCTATAAGAAACACGCAGTTTGCTTGTCATCAGGCACATAATATAGTGAGCTCTATTTGAAAATGTTGACCAACAATTAAAAGAGGAGGCAACATAATCTTAAACAGGCTTCCAACCGTCTTCATAATCCTAAAAGGAATTAAATCAGTTGTTCTATAACAACTGTGCTGGGAAAAGCTAGAAGAATGAGAGCATTTTTTTAAATGCATCAAACAATAGAAATTTGCATCTCAGTGTTTTGCAATTATATGATTATTTATTATACCTGTGCATAATAAATATCTTAAATACTCTTTGCAGACACATGTTTTTGATAAGCTTACTAAAAATAAACCCACAGGCAAATCAAATACTAGTCCCATAATGTATGTGTGTTTATTTCTTTACCTGCCAGCAAAAACTAGCTCGCCATTGCTCCTCAGTGAGGGCTGAGCATGGAACAGTTTACTCTCCAACCCCTGCACCATGCCCTCTGCCTTGTGGATTTGGGAAATGTCAGGAAAGATCAGAGCAAGGATCCTGCTACTTTTTTATTCAGATCCTCTGGTCTTAACCTTCAAGGTAACATTTAAAAGTTAGTTATGACTTGATCATTCTGCATTAAGTTTGTCATCAGTGACCTGGCTTTACAAAAGCAAAGAACCAAAGAGTTTCAGGAACAGACTTGATGAGTGTCATCAACTGCTAGAGATGTGATAAATTTATGAATTTTATCAGCCTTGCTCTTAAAAGTCCTGGTAAATTAAACAGTCAGAGGTGGAGGTTTCCTGCGAACCCTCTTAATCATCTGAGTGGCTGCATGACAGCTTGTTCCAGGAGAGCTACACAAATAAAAACTCGACCACATCACTTTCACACAAAGAAATCTGCCAAACACAAAAGAAAATGTTTGGTGTTCTTATTTTAAAAACAAAACAAAACAAAAAACTATCTCCCTGGGACTTACAATTTGAAGCCCTTTGGATAACTCATTCAAGGAAATACCTCTTGAGCTACTGTCTCCTACACATTTGGTAAACTTTCTTAATGTTTCCATAGTAACCTTTGCTAATTTTGCACAACCATCTATTCAGCTATCTGAACAACAAAATGGGTTTTGCCAAAGCTAACTTAAATTCACCTCAGCTATGACCTTTGTCTAGCATGGCTTAGGAGTCAGAAGTCCTAAGAAGAACAAAGATCATCTTTCTCATTCATAATTTACAGTGCTGCATAGTACAGAACTTGTAGAAACAGCGCAGATGCTGGTGAGCAATTAACAGGCTCTCTAGATCACGATCAGCAGCTTTACTTGCCCACCCCTTGCACCCCACAGTAAAAACAAAACTCGTTTGTTTTGAACTTGTTTTAAATATGAAATACCAGTCCTCTTCCATAGTTTGTTGTTATTGCAAATTAAAATAGATTCTGTAATTACCGAATAACTTTTAATTTTTTTTTTTAGGTTATAAACCATTGAACTCTTCTTTTCTAAGGACCTTGGGAAACTTCCACAGAATTGGTTTACTCCTCTAAAAAGTATCTTAAAAAGCACAGTGCATTTTACTCTGATAAAACACTTCTGACACATAACTATTAACCTTTGAGCAAAGGGTCTCCATCTACTTTTTCTCTTGACCTCGTCTCCCACAATCCTTTGCGGTAGTTCTGGCCTCACTTCAAAGACGGCCCGCCAGGAGGGGCTGCCCTTATTCTATTTCCTTCTTCCTCCCCCACTTCTTCCCTTGTGCCTCTATTTTTTTTTTCCCTTCACTTTCCTCTTACAACTTTCTTGCCTTTGGTAGAAAAATACCTAATCTCTCTATCTTCCCACAGCTTTACAGTTTGCCTGACCATGTACCTAGCTCTTTTCTTTCCTTTCTTGGAGGGAAGGTTCAGCAATGACCTCTGGGAGTTTAAAATGAGAAACTTGGTCTCGATTTTGGAGCTATCTCTATTTCAACTTGGAATGATAATATTTTGGGCAAATTAAAGAAAATTTAACCTCAAAATACTAGGTAAATTAGGTCATTATACCCAAAACACAGCTTCTTTGGATGAAAGAAAGAGCTGGAAAGCCGTCCCCCCACTTTGGAAGATAACAGGTCTACCGAAGCTACAGGATTTGTTCAAAGCCACAAGGCTTTTTGTGACAGAGGAAGAAACTCCCTCTTCAACCCAGCACTTTCCATTTTGACGCCAGGATTTCCCTGTGGTATGAAGAAACTTACTGTTTGCCTTGGGTGATAGTTGCTAGAGGAACAATGCTCCCTCCTGTCTTTTGGGGACTGGAAGGACATAGACGAGGGGGTTTCTGCCTTCCTAAATCCACTCAGAGGCAAGACACTTTGAATTATACTGTCTACTTTGACATCACACTTCTTTCTGTTCCTTTTCTCCTTCATCTTCAGAAAAGAAAAACATAATCAAACAACTACACAAAAGATTAAAGGTATTTGTGGCCTGAGTCCGTGAGTGAGGAAAAATAAAAATAAAAATAAATAAATAATAAGATTAAATATATTAAAAGATTAACTTTAGGATCGTGGAGTTTTCCATAGCTAATAGGAAGACTGAACTCCTGTAGTCCATGCTTTTTTCACTTTACATGTGAGGAAACTGGGCCTCAGGTTACTTGGTGTTAGGAAAGAAGCTGGGAGCAGAAGGCTAGATTTATGACTCTCCTTATACTCACATATAATGGAGAATCTGAATACTACTCTACATTACTAGCAATACATTTAATTTACTGTGTTTGTGTGAATCTCACCTAATTACTTTTGTATTTCAAGGATCTATGACACATAAAAACCAGGACATCTCATAAATTTACGTTCAATCATTTAATTACTCCTAAAATCTTTTATAATTACAACTTTTCATGCAATGCCTCTAACGGTTTCACATATCAAGTATCAAATTTATCAGTCTTCTGGGCAATGTCCTAAACATGCAAAATTCTTTCTGTGCTGTATTTTATAGGAAAATAGCCACTTTGGCTTTGTAACTTGTTTTTTTCCTGTGCTAGCCATAAGCAATACTGATTTCGTTTTATTTTAAGAAATTTTCTGATAAATGGTTTCTGCTAATGGTTGAATTTTTAAGGAAAACAACTTGTGTTGTGCTTATGTTTGTTTTCACCTTGGAGAACAAAGTCCCACAAGTCAAAGTTTATAGTCAATCAAAAAAGGGCACATTACTTTCCCATTTTAATGGTAGAACAGGGACCTTTAACTTTCCTGGAGGCTTTGCTTTGGGGTTTACACAGAGCAGAACTTCCTTAATGCTAGTAATCAGACCCACAGGACACGTGTTAATTGTTCCCGACATGTAAAACTATCTACAGTATCTCAGCTAATAACACCATTGCAAACATTTCACTTTTGAAAAGCACAGTATTGAAACCAATTACATGCCTGTTGATTTACCTTTCCCCACCTTCCCAAAACATTAGAATTGCTCATTCCAATAATGTCAAAGTTCAAATTCCCAAATGGCAGCACAAATTCTGAAAATACAGAATCGAGTTACCGTATGTGCCATCACTGGTTGATTTAGAGATGACTGCCAAAAACAAATATGTTTGGGCAAATTTTATTTATTAGATCCTACAGAAGCATATAATTGATACAGCTTCCGGTAGCTATTAGAATAGTTTCAAATAAAACATTATTTAAAGGTTACATCACCCTAAGACTGGTTCCTATCGGTCGCCTTGGTAATTTCAGGGTAAAATGATGCAAACGATAGAAATCTACTCTGATTATCATAAAGGAAAAAAAAGGTGGAAAGAGTATTGAATGGTGGTATATGGAGGCTTGCAGAAATGATGAGAGGCTGAGGGACCAGGCTGGGAAAATAGTTTGGAACCCAGGAGTCCCATAGAGCTGGGAGCCAGGCAGGCTAAGCAGGACAGCCCAATTCCATTGCAACACCAGGCCCTCCATCGATCCACTACCCCCTTATTCCTTCCTCAAGATTCAAAGTCCAAAAAGACAGTGGCTGATGGCCCAAATCTAAATCACACGGACATCTCAGGGAAGAGAGAGGGAGGATCTGTCCTATAAATGTGATAGCTTCATTTGTTCTTTAAAAAACCTTTGAATTGGGGAAATAATTTTCTATTTGTGACAAAGTCCACTCTGAGCTTCAGAAATGAAATGCCTTGGATGGAAAACAAAGTAGATATGCCTCACACCAATGTCTTTGCTGCAATAAGGAAGGTCATAAAATAATTCCTGGGCTTTACTTTACTCCAATCATAGAAAGAGACATGGCTATAACAGGGAACAAAATAATCTATCTTGGGATCTTTGACCCTTAAGCGAGAAAACAAGATTTGGCCATTTCTCAACAAAAAAGGATACAGTATACTAAATTGAATTCCAGCATTTGAGCCTTTTCACTTTTTTACCTTAGGTGATTCCCATAAATTTATAGTTTCAATTGCTTTGTATAAGACATAAAATGTAAAAGTATTATTTGCATATAAACATTTCACTAATAAGGATAAAATGCAATTTGACATAGAACTTTAGGCTTGGTGATATTTTTAACATCTGAGTATAATAAAATCAACTTTCTAAAGGTCAAAATATTATTTGTGCATCCATAGGCATTACTTTTTTACTAAAAAGTGGAAATATCCTGTGTCTGCTGTGTTATAATCTATTTTTAAACACAATATTACATTTTGAAATATTATTATTCCAATAAATATTCATTTCCACCTCAAAATGGTCAAACTAATACTTCTTTGCATATATGCTTACCGAAGTCCAGATACTGCTTTTTAAATTTTTTAAAGTGTTTATACTAAAAATTTTGCTACATCTGAGCACATTTTCATCAGATTCTAATTCTTCACTGTGGAGAAATAACAGTGAGAACTTGTAATCAGGTTTTCTTCCTTACAGAATTGTTTTCCATAAAAGATAATAATAATTTAGAAAGGCAATGTATATTAGTAGATGATAAAACATTCAATCATTAATAAATATTAACTAATTAAATGAATAATAATCACATATATGTAACATTAACCATGCCAAGCACTGTTCTCATCACTGTACATATGTTACTGCATTTAATTTACAACAGCCCAATGAACTAGGCATTGTTTTCAGGTCCATTTCATTGATGAGAAAGCCAAGTGGTAGAAAAGTAACTTGTCAAAGATTTCACAGCTAACATAAGAAGTCTGGTTTTAGACCCATGCCCTTCATAGTAAGTTATTGTTTTCTGGCTACAGGTTTTCAAGAAAGGTAATGGAAGCTCATTATTAATGTAATTTAAAGGCAAATTGTGTAATCATTGGGATCATTGAAATAATCTTCCACCAACACCGAAGTTGGGATCTAAACGTATTACAATTTCATCCCACGTATTACAGTCCATAAATTTGAAATAAAGGACCCCTTTCGAAAAGAAGATATATTTAGAAAACTGTCCCTAATGTAATTATACATTTCTATACCACAACCAAGTATGCAGTTAATACTTCCATATTATACTGGTCAAGATATGACCTGTGAAAGTTTTGCAGAGGTTGCACTATGCAACACAAAGTTACAGCTACGTAAATAGATAAGCATAATTCGATGCCATAGGGTGTCACGTGTACTTTTAGTGGCCTGAAAGAATAAAGCAATTTAGAGAGACATCTAATTTACACCCAGGAAATAGCTTAATGAGCACAGGAATCCAATGCCCGAAGGTGCACTGAATTATATATCGAAGCGCCAGTGTAGGAGGTTTCAAACAGCCAATCTTTGTGACAAGAAATGAGTGTGTTTTGAGAAGTGGATTGAACAGCATGGAAGAGCACAGCAATTACTAAAAGGGTTTCCAGACACACGAGAGTTATTGGACCCTGTTACAAACTCTAACTTCCACCATCAGTTACTGCGTTCATTTGTGCCATTGAAGCCTACATCGTTGCAACTGGAACAAAAATGATGTTTACATTTTACCAGTGTTTTACTTTCAATTAAACATCACGGCTGCTATTTACATAGTTGAATGGCATGGCATTTATACCATGCAATTTGATGTTAATTCTTTGTAAATATTTCTCCAGTAGGAGACCTAAGTTCAAACTAGTTGTGAAAATGTCACTAAAAATAAAATAAACTTTAATTTAATCTTGATCACAAATTATTGTTAAACGAAAGCTAAAAACCTGTAAAAATTTTAAATGGAAGTCCAAAGGAATTAACTGAGATGCTCATGTCCCAGGAAGTGACTTGCTTTTACACTGCCTGAGCCCTTGAGGACTTAACTCCACGGAGGGGAAGTTAAAGGCAGGAAAGAAAGAAGCTGCCAAGAGCACGGCTGAGAAGACGCAGGGAGGCTGCGGCTCTTCTCTGCACTGTCCACTCTCAAGCCTGTAGTTCTGTCCTGAAATAGGTCACAACTGGAAGGTTTCACGTTTCTTACGCATAGATGCTGTTCCCCGACAAGCTCCTCCGTCTGCGATCACTCATCATTCATCATAGCTGGAAATCTCCACCCTATCTGCATCTGAAATTCCCAGGGCCAAGCTGGTCAGCATCCAATACAGAATGGAAATAAAAATGGAAGTGGGTCTGTGTAGCTTTTCTTTGCTCTCTGTCCCAAAACATCCTCTTCCCTTGTGGTGTCTTCTTGTGTGTTTTCATACACAAGGAGAGAAGCCTAAGTAAATAAACAATGTTGTAGACTTACCTTTTTAAACATTTCCCTGTTGATTTCTTTCAGTTTTCTAGATTCTGGTGTAGAAATCTGAATGGGCTCATAGAAATAGGCTTTAGGGTAAGGCTTGCCTTACATACACAGTGTAAAAGCCAATAATCAAAAATATATAATTTGATTTGAGAGACTACAATCATGCAAAATAAGAGTTATGTCCCTATAAGTATCTCTGCTGACTTGGCAGATGCCAGAGGTGAAGCCATGGTTACTATCCTCTTTTAAACTTCCAGGAGCTCTGGAGGGGTAAAACGTCAAGCTGGTGCAGTCATTTACATCAGTGTGGATTCCCTTATTAGAATACTCTCCTTGGGGGATGCTAACTGCAATAAAAAGAATAAGAATTTGATGAAGAAAGGGAAAAGAAAAAATGAGCATTTGATGGAGAAAGGGAAGAGGGAAGACCTCATTTTTGGTCAGGAGTGAGATGAAGTCAAGGAAATTCAACAATTTATCCATTTTGCCAACTTACCAAATTTGTCCTGGTTTGAAGAAAATGAGATAATCATTCCCTTCTCTATTTAACTAAGTAAACTCAAATGCTTCCAGTAGTCGTGCAGGTAACATCTATTACACGGAATCAACTCTGTGTAAAGCATTAGAAGGCAGCAAGTTCTATGGTAAACGAGGGAGCACAAACCTCATCACAAGAATTGCAAATTTTTAAAAAATCATAAAACAATTTGGCTGGTCAATTAAGACCTATACAGAGCTGCTCCTTTTGACCCTTAAGGTAGCCAAATCTGAGTGACATTTTATGCAAGACTAATGTTATTCAGGAATTAAAGTAAAACACCGGCTGGATACAGTGGCTCATGCCTGTAATCCCAGAACTTTGGGAGGCCAAGGTGGGTAGATCACCCGAGGTCAGGAGTTCGAGACTAGACTAGCCAACATGCTGAAACCCTGTCTCTGCTGAAAATACAGAAATTAGCTGGGCATGGTGGTGCACACCTGTAGTCCCAGCTACTCGGAAGGCTGAGGCACAAGAATTGTTTGAACCAGGAGGCAGAGGTTGCAGCGAGCTGAGATCACACCACTGCACTCCAGCCTGGGTGACGGAGCAAGACTCAGTCTCAAAAAAACAAAAAAAGTAAAACACAATTTAACACCTAGTGAATGCTTATTAAATTGAGATGATCTAAGAATATCGCAACTCAGGGGCAATCACTAGTCCAGTTCTCTCTAATTTTTCTACATTTTTTGATGATGGGGATTATGGTGACAAGTATGGTGACTTGAAGGAGTCTCCCATTATGCAGAATGAATTAGCACTATCTTAGGGAGACAAAGTGCCAGCTTAGACATTTGCGAACTCAGAACCAGAAAGCCAAGTGTTCATCAATAGCATTCACATAAACACCACTTCCAATTCTCTTGTTTTCATATCTTCAAAAAGAATACAGCACTTCCAGATGTCCAGTGCCTACCTCCGAGTGGTATTACAAATATTAGTCATGTTAATGCCTCACAGGTACTTTGAAGATGAAAAGGACTAGTTAGTATCAAGCCATGAAGTGGCAGCCAAGACTTCCATAACAAATAGAGCAAAACAGAAAGGAGGCACCGCTGAGAAACTTGGAAGCAATACAGCCACGTATTTGTTTCTGCGCAAACTTTTTAATAATGAAAGCTCGTGAACTCCTCTTTAGATGAAAAGAGGCTCAACTGTGTCTTTAATGAGATCATCCTATTGGAGCACAATATAGTGATAAAGAAGATTTAATAAAGCATTTTGTCTTTTTATTACTTTGATTTGGTGCAACATATCTGCTCATCCAAGCAAGATGTTTAACTTCAAAAGCGGTTCTGTCCACCCTCCCCCTGAACAATAAATAACTCCAAGGCGGAAAAAGAAAACAATATATTTGAAGCATCCCTAAGCTGCTGAGTGATGAAAAGATTCATCATTTTTTTTCTACTGTGGACACCAGTTTTTAATTAGTCCTTTACTTTTCTCTTGTAGCTGGTAGGATTGTAAGAGTTTAAATGTTGCTTGTTATTGATTAAAACATATAGTAAAGTAATTTTGGGGAAAAAAATCGAATTACTCCACACCGTGGTAAGACTTTCCTATTTGACATGATCCTGGATAGGCCCATTAGACTGGGAATTTTGGAAATAAACAAAATTAGGCCATAAAACTGTTGGCACAGAATTCTCCACATCATGACAAACTTACTCTAAACATCTTTTTTGTATGTAGGTCTGTAATTAGATTCAGTGCTTAAATTTAAGATTTTGGCCAAGCTAAGCCTGGAAACACAAATATAGAATGTTTAGGAGGTTAAGGAATTGATTTTTGGAATGTGTTTACTTTTTTAAGGCGTCTTAACAGTGATATTAGCATAGATGATTGTATTAGCCAGAGAAAACTTCAGACAAACCCACCCAAATAATCTGGTAGACACTGAGTGAGTAGGCTAGATAAAGATGAGAGGGGAAAAATAGACAAACCGGAGGGAGGAAACTGAAAGATCATCAGCAAGGGCAGAGGGAGAACGAGCAATCCAGTCAATTCATTGTCTTAACTACATTAGACCAAAAGGCCAGACTTTTTTTGTCCTTAACAAAAATGTGGCTACGTTAGTGAATTCACAGACTCTTGTGGATGCTGGCTTAAATCCTCAAGTAAGCAAAGAGAGAGAAAAAAAAGGAAGAAGTCTCTCAGATGACCCTGCAGGCCACAATTGTTAAGTAACATAACAAAATTTCTAAGTGATTTTCTAGAACCTATTTTTTTCATGACACAAACAGATTTTTTAAAAAATAGTCATTCCCAACATTCCTTTTTCCCCAAGAAATCACTTGTTTCTATGTTTCTGCATTTGGGTTTCTTATTATTACTCTCATACCTTTGGAAACAAAGAGACCTCAATTCAAACTCCACCTTCATCATTATTAGAAGCTTCAGTGTTCCTATCATTAAAATTGGAAATAATAAAACTACACTTATATCCTCTAAGTTTGGCCTTGTACCAGCATCTTAATTATCCTACTAGTTTTCTGCAATAATATGTATTCAAGATTGCTCTGATAAACTGCACATATCCAGGTTAAATTGCTTTTTTATTATTCGTAAATTTTACAAATTCAATTATCCGTTTATTTGGGGAGTTTTAACTGGTTATTTGGAAATATATAGACACATCTTTAAATTGCAGATCTATACAGAATAAAATAAATATATCACATTGAAGAACATGGCCTGAATATTCCTGTTTCTTGCAAGTAGGAGGGGATGAGGTCTAGAAGGAACCTATACACTGACATTAGACAGCTCCTAGGAGTCAAGCCTCTACTAGACTAATGGGAAGGGGTCCTGCTGGCAGGCAGAGTGTGACATCCAGCAGTAGGCTGTATGCACAGCCTTGCCTACTGGTGCCCTGGAGAGAGCAATGCCAGACCCCCATGCAAGGAGGGCACCAAGATTCAAGGCAAGTTACCAGAAGAGAGGCTTGGAACATGGGCTCTTTGTCAAGGTCTTTATTGTTGCATGCAGCAGAAACCAACTCAATCCAGTTTAAGCAAACAGGAGAAATTTTTGGAAGGAAGTGAGATGTATAGCAGAAGCCAGAGATCTTTCCAGATCTTGAAAATCCATCAAGAACCCAGGCAGTTTCTCTCAATCTCTCTCTCCCTCTCTTCTCTTCACTCTCCTCACCCCCAACCCATCACCTTTTTTTTTTCTTTTTTTTTTTTT